TGTGAGGTTGAGGTCAACCTGGTCAACAAAGTGAGTTCCAGGACAGGCTCCAAAGCAATACAGAGAAATCCTGTCTTGAAAAAACAAAACACAAACACAACAACGAAAAACAAATAACAATTTAGAGAAATTGTGTGTACACATTTCTATATATTTGTCGTCAGCTTCTAATAGGACATTTCACCTTCCACTGACTACTATCTAATACATAAAATCAGAACAGAAAAATTTTAAGTTCATAATTGCAATCAGCATTGTTAACTGAACAGAGTTTTACCTGAATGCCTAGATTACGATCTTGAGCACTTTCAAGTTCTTTGTTTTTCTCAGTTAACACTTTTACTTGGTTATCTAGAGAAAAGAAATGTAATACACACAAATGTGTTAACTTAAAATTGGCATTTTTACTCAATTGCCAGTATTACATATTTTAAAAAATGAACTGGAGTCCTTAATTACTGATTTATAACCATATTCCAAATTTGAGAATACATTCTTATTTTACTGTATTCCAGACCCAAAGTTTAAATATGCTACAATTAAATGTAATAATTCTATTCCCAATTTGTAGTAAAATTAGCAATCTCAGATTTTCAATGCCATTTTCTACCTAAGTTTATATAAAATATAACATGTAAGTCAGGATAAATACACATGATGTAGTTTGAACTACATAAAATGCACTCATTACATATCATAATAAACATCTGTAATTCTGTGCTTTTTTTGATCTGTGGCCTTTGCCACAGAAAAAAAAATGTTATGTTTGCACTCCATCAGTACTCATGATATGTTTATCTTCCCATATAGATCTTTCCTAAGAATACACTTAGTTATGCAGGAAAAGTACACATCTGAAAACTTTTTATGAAAGCGTCTAAAGCCAGGTGTAGTAGTACACACTTACAATCCCAGCACTTGGGGGGAGGCAGAAGGATAGCTACAAGTTCAAAGCCAGCCTGGTATACAAGGTGAGTTTGGCACAACCTAGGAAGATCCTGCCTCAAAGAGGAAACAAGCAAATGCTATATTATATAGAGGTAAAATATTGATTTTTATTTATGTGCATATGTGTGTGGCTGTGTTAAATGGATGCTATGTTGTGCAGGTACCCAAGGAGGCCAGAAGAATTTGTCACTGTTGCATGCTCTGAACCTAGGATTTTAGAAAGAGTGGGAACTGAACTTTGCTCCTGTAGAAGAAAAGATAGTGCTCTTAAATCACTTGAACTCTCTATCTCCCCAGTTTCTATGTATAGGCAATTTAACATATTTTTTTTTTAAATTTATAGTAAAAGGAAAACAAAAACCTGTTACTCTAGATTTTCTATTTTGTTTTACTTACTACCTTCCAGATGTACACATCTGTAATTGTATACACACACTTCAAATACAATTGTCCATCTTAAAAAGGTACTCATCTTTGTCTATGTTCATCCCTGTTTTCTCTAAATACCTCATAAAAGAAGCTATAATCAGCTACACTCCTAAAAATTCTTTAGTATCTTTTAGGCAGGACTTACTCTATTTTGTTGAGGACAAGTGCTGTGTGCTGTGTGTACACATGTATGTAATACACATTTTTTTCATTAAATGTTAGTGTATCAAAAGTACCTGAAGAAGAAATTATAAACCAAAGAGAGAAAAGAATATGATGGAATTTGTAGTTATAAAATTTATAACAAAGTCTAATGAAATCAGTAATTAATTTTTCAATAGGAAAGCAAATCACTATTTGAATCAAGTATACATTTTAGTTACTTTGAACATTATCAAAAATACCTTTGATGTGCAAAGTTATGGAAACTTATGCATGTGGTTCAGCAAACATCAGCCTTTTAAAAAAGATTCTATGATAGTATGTGTGGTGAAACCACTTTTAATTTCAAAGTCTGAATTAGAAACCAGCGCTCCCAACTGTGACAACCTATGTCCTCACCAAGTCTCTACTGCTAAGTGAAAAACAAATTATCACTATGAATACAAACTACAATACCCTACCAAGAATTTTCACATGGTAGTTTTAGAGAGATATAGGTAGGGAAGGGGACAGAAACGCACATACCTGAAAGTCTTCATTACTCCTCCATGGGTATGAAGCAAAGCTACAGTCCTCTCAAGAGAGAGCATGTTTTTATAGATTGTGAGGAAGTAGTGAGGCAGAGGTGTGGGCCCAGGGTCTATTGTCACCATCAAATTAGACTAAAAACACTGTTTTTGTGGTGTTTGGCATTTAGAATGAGAAAACTAATACAGGATTTATAAGATGTGACAATGTGACCAATGTCTGCCTCTGGGCCTGAAGGCAAGGAAGCTGGGTGTGTCCTTACCTTGTTTGTAAATCTCTTCTTCGGGCTTTGCTACCTGGACAACCTGTGTCCAGGAGGGGCAGGCTCCCTGCCTAAGTTATGCTACACGAAGGAGTAACTGAACACCCAAAAACAGTTATAAAGATTTAATACTTACTTAGCTTCTCAAGCTCCAGCCGCAAGTTCTGACACTCACGGGTTTCATTTACAAGCCTCTCCTGACTCTGGGATAACCTCTTCTCTATCTCAAAGTATTGTTGTTCTATAAAAGACAATACAAATACTAAGAGTAAAGTCAAGAACACATATCCCCAAAAACAGTAGTCTTAATACCACACATTTCTTAGAATACTGATTGCAAAACTTAAGATACAATATAGGAAAATCTAATCTCAATATAGATTTAGCACTGAAAAGACTTTTCTAACATTTTTAACTGACATATAAAAAAAGACAATAATGACTAAAAGGGGACTCATAAATTAATTTCTTCTAAGCAAACAACAATATCACATCTTGGTATTTTCTCCAGACCTCAAGAGGTTGCTAAGCATTTAAAAATAAGTATTTACTAAATTAAAATTTTATTTAATTAAAAAATGAATTGTTTTAAAAGGTTTTACATAAAATAATTAAAATACCACTTGCTTAAAATTCTGTCAAAATAAACCTGCAGACTTCCCACAAAAAGAGGCAGTGAGCTGGGTGGTGGTACTACACACCTCTGACTCCAGTACATGGGAGGCAGAGACAGGAGGATCTTTGTGGAGGCCAGCCTGGTCTTCAGAGTGAGGTCCAGAACAGCCAGGCTACAGAGAAACCCTGTCTAAAAAAAAAAAAAAAACAAAAAAGGAGGGGGATGGGGAGACCATGTAGAGACTGTTTACTTCATTTCAGTATTGGGACACATAAATCACTAAATATTTATTGTGTAAATTAATAAACAGAATACAGTGTATGATGCAATTTTCTTATTTCACCAATTGACTGAATAATTTCAACTGTCAACTTTGCTTGATAACTACACTTCATTGAAGTGAAAATTAATTCAGGTGTTTTCCAATCGCTATCAAAATACAGCACCAATTCCCTCAATTAATGGTAAAGCAAAACAAGCAACAAGAAAAAAAAAATCCTATTTTATTAATGGTAATTACTATTTTTATTTCAAGACTGTTCAAACCACGAAGTCCATAACTTTCTTACAGACAAGCAACTACAAGGACATATGAGCAAAAACAGGATATATCCAACTCAGTGCAATTTCACTGCTTTTTCTTGTGATGTCTTTTGCATTCAAATTCACTTTCATGACCATCTACTTTGTTATGGGACCACAAGGATATAGACACACACACTAAGAACAAGGCATTGAGGAGCTTGGCAAAGGCCTATAAGTCCAGGTGGGTAGAAAGAACAACAAACTCGGAAGGCAGAGGCAGGTGGATCTTTGTGAGCTCGAGGGCAACCTGGTCTACAGAGCTACTTCCAGGACAGGTTCCAAAACTGAGAAACTGTCTCGAAAAACAAACAAACAAACAAACAAACAAGAACAACAAAACAGAATCAGATTTGGGTTGCATAGTCCTAAAAATATGGTGTAGACTGACAAAAACTCTCCACAATTTGTCTGTGGGCCCAAGTTAAGAGCTCCTACATAAGACGAAATGAAGGTAGATTTAGATCTGGGAGGACGGATCGCTTGTTCTTTTTTGAAAAAATCACTCAGCGAGGAGAAAAGAGAAGGCCTACAAGGCATACGGAGCCTGTGTGATGCTACCTGCACCCCTCGCGGAGTGCAAGAGCGGGTAAAGAGGAAGGTGGAGCCACAGCTCGGCCAGAGCTCAAGAGCTTAGCACTTACCGCTCTCAACCTTAAATTTCTCGTGACGCCCCTTCAGGCCGTCGATCTCCGACTGCTGATCAGCCAGGAACTTCTCAAGTTTGTTCTGGGTCGACTTAGGAAGCTTGTTCAGCTCCGGGCGCTCCAGGACTTGCTGCAACACCGCCGCCATGTCGGCCGGGGTCGTGGCAGCAGCGGCCGAAGGAGAAACGAAGGAGCTGGGCGAAGCGCGAAACCCAGACGCCTGAGGCGCCCCGTCTGCGGCGTCGCTCACTGGCTCCCTCGCGCCTGCCCGCCTGAGACTCCCGCGGCGGGACCCTGGGAAATAGAGTCCCGCGTTAGACGCAGCACGGGCCGCGCCACTGCGCCCTCTAAGCGCACGCAGCCTCCGGAAGCTATGCACGCTGGGAATGCGAGTTCACAGCGGGCCTCGGACCTAACTTTTGGTTTCCTCTGCTTCCAGACCCAAAGGCTCCTGGGAAATGTAGTACCTCAGTCGCTTCCGCGAGCTTCGTCACCCGCACCTCCCGTTCCTTTTCCTTCTTTCTCCCCGCCCCCGGCTCTCCGCGTTCGGCTGTGACGAGTGTCCGCGCGGTGGCGCTACACACGTGTTCAGCAACCATCGTCCTTCCCCGAGGAGCAAGGCGACCTTACCGTCAAAACCCCGGGATGCCATGGGTACTCCTCGGCGTCCGCTTCTAGAAACCGAGCCACTAGAGGGTCGCGGCAGGGTGGATTGACAGGCTCCGGGCTGCCGCCACGCTCTCAATGGTGCCCGAAGGGGGCGGGGTGCAGGCCACACTTGCTTTGGTGGAAGAGCTGCGGAGATGGGTGCGGGACGGCTTGCGTCATCAGGCTGCGCCCGTTGGTGCCCTACTTTGGAGAGGGAAGTGGAGCGTCTGCAGTCGCTTTCTGATGAATTCATGGGTTGTGGAAGTAGGTCCTGAGTGGCATCTGGCCCTTTGAAGGCAGTTACCTGTACTCACCGAGTTCTCTTGCTGACAGAAGGTTCGGGGGGGATTTATTGGCCACGTGTGCACATTCTGCGAACAAGTGAGTCAGCCTACAAACGTGAGTGCACTCGAGCACCAACCACTTCCTCTTCAGGGGGAGCAAGGAAAGGATTTAGTGTAGGGAACATATGGACAGTCACTGGTACACACTGAAGTCCACTTCTGAGGAGTTTAGCTCATGTCAGACCTCGTACAAACGTGCTTTTGGCGCTTGGAGGCACAGATAATGCGAGTTTAAGTAGTAATCCAGTTAATATTTTAAACAAAAAGAAGTCAGGAAGAGTTTGTAGTTTATGTATTAAGATGACATTGCAAAGAAAAAAAGTCTGATGTTGATGTTTTTATATGAAAATGTTTTAAAACAGTTGTCACAATATCATCTTGCCCCAGTAACAGAACTACGTTTGCTTCTAGGTCGTATTTCAGCCTTTCTGTATGTACTTTGTTTCGTCACTGGTTACTTTTCTGGAAGAATTTATTGACTCTTGATTGACAATAAGAGCTAGCACATGCCTGTGATCTCAGCTACTGGAAGTAAGAGGCAGGCAGGTTATAATTCCAGTACAGCCTGAGTTAGTAGTCAGTTCCTGTTTTCAGTGAAGGGGATTGTGTGTGTGTGTGGGGGGGGGGTTTAAGTTAGTATGGTTATTATACTAGTTTCCATTCACAAACTGGAGGAGAAAACAGGAGCTGACCTTTGCAATGATTTGATTGAAGGACAGTATATGTTGTCGATGTGAGCAAAACAGACTGTCAGAGCCTTTCCCACACACCAGTTTTGTCATTTGGAGGAGTTATTTAATACGTTTCCTTCTTTTGATTTCTTTATGTATAAAACGGAGATGTCAATAGTAGTACTTGCCTTGTGGTGTTATGTATTGAATGCCAATGCATGTAAAGTACCTAGACTAATGCCCTGTGCAGAATGAAAGCTATATAGTTAGTTATCATTGTTGTACTACTGTTTACTTAAGTGGCTGTTAAGTGAGTTGTCTCATGTCAGCAATCATTGTCCACTTCTGTGCCTTCCCACCGAGTATAATTTCTAGAAAGTAATAATTGTACAATATATATTGACCAAAGAAATTTGAATCTCTCTGCCTCTTAATGAACATATCAGAAATTCATCTCTCATATTTTAGAAATGAGAACATGGAAGTTCACCAATAAATTAACAAAGAGAATGTAGCTGAGGAGATCTAAAGTAAGAAATTAGATGTGTTGACTAATGGTTTAATTATTTTCTTATCCCAAGAATGAGAAATAGCTTTGATTTCTCATGGTTATTGGTAATTGTGGTTTTTGTTATTGTTGTTTTGTTTTCTTTTTGTGGTTTGGTTTTTTGAGTTAGGTTTCACTATTTAGATCCAATTGGCCTCAAACTCAATATATAGCCTTGGCTGGCTCCAACTCGTGGCATCAAATCTGACTCAGCCACTGGAGTGTGGAGTTCCAGGCATGCAGTACCCTATCTGGCTGGGAGTCTGTCCTTCCTTTCTTTTCTTAAATAGTATGTTTTTATTGTTATTTTCATGTGGTGTGCATATTTGTGTGGGTATGCTACGTGTGTGCAGGCTCCAGAAGAGGGAATTGGTTCTCCTGGAGCTAGAGCTACAGGCATTTGTGCACCACTGGACTTGGGTACTAGGCACTGAACTCAAGCCCTGTGGGAAAGCAGTGAACACTCTTTTAACCTCTGAGCCATCTCTCCAGGCCTCAGGGAGTTGTTTCTTACAACCCTGTACTCAGAATTCCAAACTACATTTCAGTTGTACAAAAAAGAATGCCCTATTCATAAATAATCACTATAAAACATAGGAAAATTGTCAGGATTGTACCACCCCCCCCCATTACCCATCTGACCGTGCTAAACTATCAACAATTACTTTTTTTTCCCCCAAAAATGTAAACTTTATTTCTTGTAATGTAGGGTATTGAATTGCTGTCAATAATGGGAAGAACCTACATTGTAGAAGAGACTGTTGGCCAGTATATTTCAAACATCAATCTCCAGGGAAAAACTTTTGTCTCTGGTCTTTTGATAGGACAGGTATGTATGTGTCTTCATATTGATGAAAACAAATTACTGGTTATTTTAAATTAAGTATGCCATTTAATAGGAAATTTAGGGTTGTGTGGAAGGGACATATAGGTGAAGAAGGTAACCCAAACATCTGAAAGAGAGGAACCTGGCTGAAGGTGGGATAAGTACCATCACATTCCCTTTGGTACTGTGAAAGTAACTGATAATGTCCAAATGCAACTCTTCACTGACCAGATTATTCACATTTTGGCTTTCTTTGTGTTTTGGACTGGATACATAGCTCAGCTGGTACATAAATAAATCCCCAAGTTTCAGCCCCAGTGTTCCTGGTGGTTGTCAGCATGGTCATAGTCAGGATTAGTTCTTTCCAAGTTTGTGGCCTCTTACCCAATTAATTGAAAATAAGAACTCACTAATTTGCAAATGTGGCAAGATAACTTCATAAGGAACAAAACAGAAGTCAGGATTCACTGCAGGCCACATGAGTGAGAGTACTTAAGTGTCCGAATTATTGTTTGTGCCTTAGTTTTATGGGGTTCAAAAGAAGGAGGTGCTGGCTTCTAAGGACATAGTTTAAGTGGTTATCTATTTTGATTGTTAGGTTACATAAGGCCTGATGCTTTTTTTCCCCCTAATATACATGTCCTGCCCTATAATCCACCTGATTTAACTCAATTTAAATTCTTTCATAGGCATAAGATTTTTCCCTAAAAGTTCACTTGACAGTTTATTTAACTGTACATGTACCTAAAACTGTTTTAGGCTGGCTGGACATTGCTATTCTTCTTACCAGATATGCTGGGAATGCACTTGAATAGAAACTGCCTAATGTGATTTTTACCAAGGACAGGGAAGTCTATACTGTTCTTTAGAGATGGAAGCAATGTGTAGCCCAATGCAGGTAGGGGCCTCCAGGTGAGGTTCTTAGGAGAGATGGGTTTGTGCATGGTTCCTACAGGTAAAGGGACTAGGCTACCAAGTATATTCTTAGAGGGGGCAGGTGAGCAATGACCAGGTGTATAGAATCCCAGGCTAACCTACTGCCTCTGCTTGCCTAACTCACTCAGCACCTCTTAAACCAGGCGTTTCATTGTGGAGCCCAAACTGGCCTTGAATGTACCAGCTCAGTATAGATTTGAACCACTATATCCAGATCTATACTGTCTTTATTTCTTCGTTTTCTGCATTCTTTCTCTTACTTTGATTCCAGAGCTCACTTTTATTCTCTTCTGTCTTCTCGGGATTGCCGTAATTACTCTAATTGAAAGTTTCTCTTTCTTTTCAAAGTTCAGCATCTTATGAAAGAAGCAATGCCTCTATGTCAGGCATGGTGGCTCATGGCTGTACTCCTGGTACTTGGAAGGCAGAGACAGAAGGATCAGTCTTGGCTACATAGTGAGTTTGAGGCCAGACTGGGCTATGTAAAAGCCGGCTCGAAAATAATGAGAGAAGGGGTGGGGAGGACTTTAAAAAAAAAAGGTGTAGATAGGAATTTTTATATTTTATTTTTATGATTTTTTTTCAGTATGTATGTGCATATATGAGTTCAGATGCCCAAGGAACCCAAAGGGGTTGGAGTCCCTAAGCTGGAGTTAAAGACTGTTGTGAATTACCAGATGTGGTTTCTGGGAACTGAACCTGGTCTTCTGCAAGAGAATACTTACTCTTGACCATTGAGCCCTCTCGCCACCCCTAACAGACATGGCCTTTAATCAAGCCATGCAACACTCTTGTATACATTTGGAAGTGGTTTTCTGTAATTTCTGCAAATGGCATGATGATGCTAATGATCTCTAGGGCGTTTTAGGTGTTATTTGGAGATAACACCGTTCTAACTACATTATGAGCCTTATTAGCTAACTTAGGAACCATGCTATATCGAAACTGAGATCTCTTCTAATCCATAAATTTATTTGTAGCTCTTTTACTTTGGATTGCCATTTAACTGCTGTTAAAAACAAACAACCTGAAGCTTGGAACTACTGAATTTTATTTCAAATACATCCCCACCCCTTGTTCTCTAGATGCATCTATGTAAGTTTATTTATTTATTTACTTTGGACTATTATGGCAGTCCAAATAAAATAAACAAGTTCATTGTCATTTTCTAAATGAGATTTTATATTTACTAAACATCTAGTCCATTTAAATTACAAAGAAAATACGATAATTGGAGTATTGACTAAGCACATTATATTTTAGTTATGTCAGTTCACTTGCACATTCAACAGCAACAACAACAAAAACTGGCCTAAAAAATCTTTGTAGTCCAGGATGACTTTTGAACTCATGTTTCTCCTGTTTCTACTTCCTGAGTGTGCTGGGTTACATATGTATGCTATCATTGCCTTCATGCCTGGTTTATGTGGCACTGGTGATTCTAACCCAGGGTCTTCTGCATGCTAGGAAATTGGTGTACCAACTGAGCTACATCTACAGTTCCAGAACCATTTGTTTACTTATTTATTTACTTACTTACTCACTTATTTATTTGTTTGTTTGTTTGTTTGTTTGTTTTGAGGCAGGGTTTTTCTGTATTGGCTTTGGAGCCTGTCTTGGAACTAGCTCTGTAGACCAAGCTGGCCACAAACTCACAAAGATCCACCTGCCTCTGCTTCCCAAGTGCTGGCTATTTATTTATTTTTTGAGACATATTTCTCTGTGTAATAGTGCTGGTTGTTCTGGGACTCACTTTATAGACCAGGCTGGCCTTGAACTTACAGAGATCCACCTGCTTCTGCCTCTTGAGTGCTGGGACTAAAGGTGTGAGCCACCACCACCTGGCCCAGTATCATTTTTAAAGACCACTCTGTAATTTATATTGAGGTTGTTCAAGTAAATAATAAGTTGATATGTACATTAAAGATAAACACCATATGAGAGATATTGCAAAGCCATGCATTAAAATCAGTTCCCATGAGTATAGCTTCCATAATAATATGAGTATGAACAGTTTAAATTGCTAAAGTACTGTTTTGCATGAGATATCAAATTCTTCAATCAGATTTAACTGTAATTAGCTTTTACAATTTTTTTTAAAGTGTTCTTCACAAAAGGATTATGTGATTCTTGCCACTAGAACACCACCCAAAGAGGAACAGAACGAGAACCTCAAGCATCCCAAAGCTAAGTTGGATACTTTGGATGAAGAATGGGCCACAGAACATGCCAGCCAGGTAAAACTGTCTCTATATAGATGTTTGTATGTAATAGATTAACAGGAAAAAAAAAAAAAGATTCCTAGGTTACTAGACTTGAATTTTACAGTATTCTTTCTTAAATGCATGCTAATGGTTGTGTGCAAAACAGTTTTACAAAAGGCTCTGTACATGAATGATTCTTAGGACTTTGTTAATTAAACAAGTCTGAGAACACATTCAGTAAGATCAGGACAGTGTGGTTAAGTGACACAAAGACACAATACTAGGTAAATAACAAGCAGTTGGACAGTTGAGTATAGTTGAACACAAAGCATGTAGGAAAATGTATTTAAATACCAGGCTTGTTATGGGTGGCTTTGAAATGCAATTCTAAGAAGTACCCTTGATATAAACAAAAGCCCAGTTGTAGGGCAGGGAGAGTCATGATCCTTTTTTAAGGATCTAGCTTTAAAAGAAAGTATATATTGCCAGGAGTAGATTACTCAGGCTTCATTGGATGGCCTCACACCTGGGAGAATATGGGCAGTACAAATTGGACTCATGGGTTATTAAAAAAAAAGGACATGAAGTTGGAAGGAAAAGCATAGGGCAGTGGACTGGATCTGGGAAGAGTGGGGGACAAATGTGATCAAAGAACATTGTGTAGAATCCTCAGAGTACTAATAAAATTATTATATTGGAAAGCCCAGTGATAGGCATTTATACCCCCCTATTTTAAAAGAGTGACTTATTTGCCCGTAATTTATAAACTAACATTAATATAGGCACAGTATTAGTAGAAAGTAGAACCTGGAGACAGAAGAGAAACTATAGCTAAAGTAGTAGTAGTCCAAACCAGTGAAGGTATGAGCCTAAGCTAGATTCTGAGCTGTGTGAGGGCAGGAGTTCTTTCTTGTATTCATGGCTGTAGTCTGAGAGCCTACAGCATTTCCTTGGTATATAATGTGAGTTGTAAAATACTAGATTTAAAAAAAATGCATGGACAAATTAGCTTAATCTTCATTAATAATTTCAGAGAAAGAGCTAGAATCATGAAAATTTAGTGACCAAGTAGATTGAGAATAAAGAGATTTAGAAGAGAAAATTGCCAAAGATTTTTACCTTGAGTGTTTGTGAGGAAATGGATTTAGGGGATGCCGAAAAAGTAATAAGTATCACTTAAAATATTTTTTGAATGAGTTGTGGTATAGAATAAAGAATAATAAAGTGATTATAGTAAGATAAAAGTAGAATTTTTGTGTTTTCTTTCTCAACGTAAAAGTCTCTTAGATAGGACTGGAGAGATAGTTAAGACTAGCTGGTCTTCTAGACATCCTGAGTTCAATTTCCAGCAACCTCATGATGGCTCTCAACTATCTGTAATGAGATCTGGTGCCCTCTTCTGGCCTGCAGGGATACATGCAGACAGAATTCTGTATCATAATAAATAAATGAATCTTAAAAAAAAAAAAAAAAAAAAACTTTTTAGATAAATAAATGCGTATATTTGTGATGGGAGAGTTGTATGCAATTATAAAAAAAAGTTCAAGAAATAATACTGGTGTCTTTTAAAGAAATCATTTTAATTCCTATTGGTATATATGTACATACATACATATATATAAATAACTTCCTATTTTAAATTTGCCTTGCTTTCTTTCATGTGTCTGTAGTATGCATGCATGCTGTGAACATGTGTTTGCATGTGTATAAGGAAAGGCTTAAGGCTTATATCAGTAATCTTTCTCAGTCATTTTGCCATCTTACTGTTTGAACTTGTCTTGCTGACTAGGTTGCTCTATGGAATTCCTTGTTGTCTCTCTCAAGAGGGTGGAATTATAGGCCATCTGTCACACCCACTAAGCATTTACATGGGTTCTTGGGATTTGAACGCTGATACTTTTGCTTGTTCAGCAAGTGCTCTAACCACTGAGCCGCCACGCCTTCCCTATGAAGTTTAATGTGTTCTGTTAAATTTATATGCAAAAACACAAAGAGAGAATATGCATGAATTTATAATGGAAATTAAATTAGTATTTTACCTCTAGAGTTATCTTTGTATTAGTTTTTAAAGCTATATTGGTTTCCTATGATAAATGTAAAAATTTTGTCACATTTGTCGTACTAATTAAATGGGATTTATGAAATCAGAGGGAACCATGAGCTGACATGCAGATATAGTAGAAATTATGCTTTAATATCTAATTTTCTAAAATTTAACTTTTGATTGCTCATTTATATCATATATCTATGAAAGCTAGCAAAAGTGCTCTTGTCACTGAACACGGCTGGCAGAAAAAAACACATGTAGTTTTAAAAACTAGATTAGTGTGTACACATACAAAGTTGTATGATTTTCCTGGGAAACTGGAAGTTCAGAGATCATTGTGTCAGGGAAGGCTGCTCCCTCAACTTGACTTTCAAGTTATCTCACTGAATCCATATGTGAGAATGTGAGAGCAGTCAGTTTAGGCTGAGGAAACAACCTTAAGAAAGGTATAGAGTTAGAAAGCCTAGGACAATGTGTGGTGAACAGGGAGTAATTTTGATCAATGCTTGAATATTTCAGAGAAGGTAGATCAGCCACGTCTCTGAATATCAGATTGGCCAGATTCTGGGAAGATTAGAATGGCAGTCTAAGGTAAAATACTTATTTTGCAGATAGTTGAGAGATCATTGAAAAGATTTAATTTACAAATCTTAATCTTAGAAGAAAGGGGTCTATATATTGATGCACCTAAGCAAGTTACTAAAGTGATATTAAGACCCTAAAGTTAAGGGTACTCTGGGAAGTGATAGATGCGTGTGTGTGTGTGGTGGGTGGGTGTGTGTGTGTGTGTGTGTGTGTGTGTGTGTGTGTGTGTGTGTGTGTGTGTCTTAGATTTTCAACTGTCTCTGCCTGGATTCTATATGTATAGTCCTGGATAGGTATTTGCAGATTAATGTTAACTGTATCAAGACTGACATGCTTATGATAGTTCATACTGTATTTTTTTATCTTTAGGTATCTAGAATGCTCCCTGGAGGACTTGTGGTTCTTGGAATATTTATTATTACAACTTTAGAACTAGCAGATGATTTTCAAAATGCCTTGCGCAGAGTAAGTCCACTATAGCAAAAACTCTTAATGAGATCAAAGTTACATATTATTTCACTTAATCATATGCATATATATTGACTTTAAACATGTATATATGATGTTTATTAAACATATGATGTTTGGGGTGTGGTTTATTAAACATATGACATTTGGAGGTGTGGTCATGCACCCAGTGTGGTAAACTTGTGGAACTCAGAGGACTGTGTCAGCTTTGTAGACTCAGTGCCCTCCCTCCATCTTTTCAAGTCGTGGATCCCACGACTTGAGTTCAGGTTGTCATGCTTCCACATCAAATGCCTTTACCTGCTGAGCCATCTTACTGACCCTTAAAACAATTTTCCAAAAGATATCATAATGTTATATAACATGTCGTGATGGTTTAACTGGGTTTGTGTGTGTGTGTGTGTGTGTGTGTGTGTGTGTGTGTGTGTGTGTGTGTGTGCAATAGTAGTTTTCTTGTATATATTCTACTTATTAGGTAGCGATTGCAGTAATGTCAAGTATGCTAGTCACATCATTTGAAGTTCTGATACTAAATATAAACAATAATCATACTTATTATTTACTTCTGGATGGGGTGCATACTATGTATCTCATATTTTTGTTTGTTTGTTTGTTTTGCTACTACATCAGAAAATCAGATAGTGTAATCATTCCAAAAGTAAATGTAAAAGTCCCAAGCTGTTTTCTTTTCAATTCAAACCTAAAGTAGTCTTCAGGAAGCTTCTGTATCGTTACACGCTCAAGATCCACATGTACTTTCACAAGCATATCTCCCTTATGAACAAAGGGGACCTTATACCATTCAGAAGCACAACTGGTAGTTGGGGGCAATTAATAATTAAAAAGAAAAAAAGCAGTCCTCAGGTGCTGTAGATACCTCCACTTTTGTTTCCTCTGCTTCAGGTATTTCACCCATGTCTTTGATACTCTGTGCCTAGGAAGAAAGGATATCTTGCCTCCTTGGCATACTTTTCCGTCTTTTTTTTTTTTTTTTTTTTTTTTTTTTTTTTTTGGTTTTCTGAAACATGGTTTCTCTGTATTGTTTCTGAGCCTGTCCTAGAACTTGCTCAGTAGATCAGGCTGGCCTTGAACTCACAGAGATCTACCTGCCTCTGCCTCCCAAGTGCTGGGATTAAAGGCATGCACTACCACCACCCAGCTACTTTTCAGTCTTTTGTACTCTTCCATTTTAAGTAAAATTTTCCTTTTTCACTGAGGCTCTCATTTTTTTTTTTTTTTTCAATTTGGAATACATTTAATCTCTGTGCATGTACTGGTTAGTTTTAACTCTCAACTTACCCTGGAATCACCAGGGAAGAAATCAGTCCTCAGGATGAGATTGGCCTGTGGAAGATTATCTTGACTGCTAATTGATGTGCAAAGTCTCAGCCCACTGTGAATGGCACCATGCCCTAGGAGGGTTTCCTGTGTGTGTTCTCTCTTGGCTCAGACAGCTTTGCCTACATAATGAGACTATCTCAAATTGAAAATAAAAATGGGAAAAAAAATGCTGTATCTTGAGAGATACTGCAAAAAATAACTTGATAAAATGTGTTGTTAATTGTCAATAATTTTGGTCATTATATAATACTGCATTTTGTGGAGCAATTTCTTTTGATATTATCAGGAAAGGTGTGTGCCTTCTGGTCAGTTGTTTCCAGCTTATAGATCATAAGAATAAGATGGCAAATTAGACTCCTCTACACATTGTTGTAAGGAAGCCCATAGCCACGTTCATGACCCTGTATCCTAATTCCAAGTCCATATTTCTGACATAACTGACACAAATTTTGCTATTCTGATTTTTTTTTCTCTTAATTTTTTATTGCTTTCATGTTTTATGAAATTTAAATAAATGCTAATTGGGCAACATATTTTATTTTTGTGGTTAAAAAAATCACTTATTATTTCCCTTTATAATAAAAATAAAGTTTGTATTCTATGTTTTATAGAAATGCTATTGCCCCAAATTAATGTATCATATCCAGTTCATTATTAATTATAAGGAATTATGTTTTTTACTTAAAACTCAATTTTTATGTGAATCATTTCATGAAATCACAAATGGTAAATATATCATAATAGTTCATGAAATTCTGGAGATTAGAAATTCATAGCCGTTTCTACATTTTTCATTTTGTGATGAATTCATGTATATTTCTCTGTCTTTCAGCTTATATTTTCTGTGGAAAAATCTATAAATAGGAAAAGACTATGGACTGTCACAGAGGAAGAGGTCTCAGAACGAGTGATACTCCACATATGTTCTTCTACAAAAAAGTATCTTTTATTTGGATGTCTATGGTCCTGGCTACACTACTATTGTTGACTATCCCACACCACCCACAGTGTACACCACAATGAACCTACTTTTCCTCTCCCCCAAATCACTTGCTATGTAAATCACAGTTCTATAGTTCTTTTTTTAAACATTTGTTTAAATCATCCTTTTCATAAAAGACTATTAAGTTTCTCTTTAAAAAACACATTGTTATGATTAGGGCTGCCAATAATGATATTAACAATAATAATGGCCCCTGGCCATGTATGAAATTATAGAGTTTGATAGAGAGAGAAACGACTTAGAATTGTAAATTTTTTTGTCAGCTTTCTAACTATGTATATTTTTGCACTATAGGTTCTATTCAGAGATAAGCTTAAGCATATAATGTTTTTGCTCTATTAATATAATTTAAATCTTCATTTCTTAAAGTAAAATGTGCAGTTGAAAGCACCCATAATTGAGCTGGGCATTGTAGGAATGCTTATGCCTTTGCCATGGTCAAGTGTCTTCCTTAGACTTTCTCCTCTATAACTCACCAGGATAGACAGTAACTAAAGAAGAGAGACACAATCCAAGGACCCACTAAATGAGGCCTTGGAGAAGACAAAATTCAAGGAGAATTTTCCTGTAGAAGATGATGAGTGTTTAACATATTTGTCACCTGCCTGGGGAAGTGTCATAACTCAGTAAATGTTCTTGGGCTTGAACCCATGCGAAACAGTACTCCTTTATGCTGTGTAGAGTATTTTGGAACAAAAGCTCACAGGGCTGCTTTCTTTCCATTTATCATGATTAGCAGTATTTACAAACAGAAGGAAATTTGTCTTTTGTTTGCATTTTGAAGCACCAGAAGTACTATAGTCAACAGTTCATATACATCCATAATACACATAATGTATAAGTACACTCAAACACTTAGAGAAATGCATAGCTATATAACTGTATATGTCTTTAAGTATCTCAAGTATTATAATTTTTAAGAACTCATGTACCATTTTTAGTTTTTGGATCATATTTTATTATCATGGATGCTTTTGGAGTCATTTATGACCTTAATTAGTGAAGATTATCTTGTCGAACTTATGACGTCCATGACCCAAAGGTAAGAAAAATGACTCTTTAAGGACTTGTGTCTTATAAGCTACTTTTAAAAATCAAAAAGTTCATATTTATATTTAGTTTTAATGATTTTCAGTGTCATCACTTCTTTTTGATGTATATGATCACTTGTAGTTTTTTGTGCTTTGTTGTTATTAATCAGACTTTCATTTGAGAAGCTGATGGTAAAAGTGACTAAGGATTTTGTGTAGTTGTGGTATCTAGTCAACTGTCTCCCAGTGTGGTACAGAAGCCAGACCAGCATTTATTTCTTAAAAGCAATGTGAAAATAATTCAGCAGTGTAGAAAGTAAGGACAGCACAGCCTTACTGAGGGGCAGCTTGGTGAGCATTTGCTGCAAGCAGAGTCTTGAGGATGGGCTGTTGAGACCACAGGGAAAGCTGAGGCCTAGAGCAACTTTTAGAATTCAGAGCTTTCTGATCCTTTGTCTATCTACCCCCGGAGGTTGCCAAGATATCTGGCTTGTATGAAAGAATACTAAAGTTAATGCATCATTACTTCTTAACTTCTGTTCCTCTTAAATCACAGAATTTGGTCAGTGGTACATGATGCTAGTCTGGTCAAGTTATATATAGATTTTACACCTTATTTTATTAATGCATATATTTTACCTAAGTCATGTCATGTTTTGTTTTTCCGTCTTCTCCCTGCTAAAGAGTTCAGCAAGACCTGCAGATTGGAAGTATCAAAATAGAGTGTCTACCTCATGGCTGTCTCTAGAGTGTACTGTTCACGTTAATATTCACATCCCACTGTCAGCCACTTCCGTCAGCTATACTTTGGAAAAAAACACAAAGGTACCAAAGTGAAACACATTTTCATCCTTGGTTACTCAGTGGGCTGTCAGCTGTTAATCAGATTGTGACTTTTATAATCCTCAAAACTTGTACTCCATTAAAATGCTTGTTATATGTATAATGAACTTGTTATTCTAGCTGGATTAGAACTTTTTTAAGCATGAATAATGTCATAATACTAGTATATTTAGCATAACAGGTGCTTGATATCTATTAGTTAACATATATAGAATTTAATCTTGTCCATAGAGTTACTGATAGCCATCTCTTGACCCTAATTAGTTTTGCCTTTCTTTTTCTATTCTTTTGTATTTTTGTATTTTATCTATTTTGTTTGTTTGTTTCTGTTTAAATTTTCTTCTTTAATACTGCTTTATGCTACTCAAGGCTCATTTTTCTACTTTTTAAAAGATAATAGTCACTTTTGGTGTTTATTTTTATGCTCATGTAGTTAATAAGACTTTGGAGTTTGTGATAAAATTTTAGGAAAAGATCAAAAAACATTAAATATGGGTAAGGAACTTAAAAGATCAGAACTGTTGTAATTTGTGGTACTGGATTAAACACTATGTTGTTGATACTTGGACATTTTCAAGATTTCAATGTAGTAGGTCGAGAATAGTAGAAGAGGAAGCTCGAGTAAGATAACTTTCCATCTGACAGATTTCATGTTGTTTTTAAGAGTGGACTTACACGCTGGGCCAAGCAAATAGAAAATGGTGTTTATTTGATTAATGGACAAGTTAAAGGTGAAGATTGTGACCTATTAGAAGGACAGGTGAGTTCAGAGAAAATCATCTCATTTATGGAATAATTTTTAAGGAAAAATAGACTTATATTTAGTTGTAGTTTTCATTAAAACAAGTTTCACATACTCATTTCTAGAATCTTTTGCTATTTATTTATTTATTTATTTTGATGTAGGTTCTATGTAGCCTAGCTATTGTGGAACTCACTAAATAGAACAAGCTTACCTCAAACTCACACAGATCTGCCTGCTTCTGTCTCCCAAGTGCTGGGACTGAAGGTGAACTCTACCATTCTGGGCTCCATAGTCTTATAAAGGGCAAATGTTTTTCTCAGAGAGTGATAGGAAGAGGTTATTTCTGATGTAATTGAGATACTGAATCCAAGAATTAGGAATGTCAACTGCATCTAAAGCCTGTCTGATCTCCAAATTGTAAAAGTATTCAAAACTATCTTGTGTTCTACCGTCTGTAGTACTGTGTGGAAGGCTCTGTAAGGGTTTCTCAAATACCTTTGACCTAGATGAAGAGGAGCTTAGGTGATCTCTCTGTAAACTAAAAAAGCCAAATAGTAGCTTTAGGTTTTAGAAAATATGTTGTCGTTGAATATTCATCTCTCCTGTTCTTCCATTTAAGTAACCATAGATGGTAATAGAAATAAATGATTTTGACTGTTCCAGTAAATATTTATTTACAGAGAAAAGTGGCAATGTGAATTTGACCCACAGAAAATAATTTACTAATCTCAAATCTAAGGGAATAATTTAAAAGACTAATTGGTTGATGTAGAGTATATAACGTAATATATCTGTATAAAAGCAAAACTAAAATAATTAAGATTTTATTTTCTCCTTGTTGTTTAGAAATGTAAAATAGTTCCTAAATTGTCCTTTACTTTTCAAATACAATGTTAACAGTCTGGCTTTTGTATTTTTTAGAAAAAATCTAGAGGAAATACTCAAGCAACTGCTCATTCTTTTGATGTCCGAGTGCTAACACAGTTGGTAAATATTTTTAAATCCACTTATTTAAAATAAATTACTTCATCTAACATAATGAAAAATTAGGAATATAGTTGTATTAATTAAAAATATACCAAGATATGAAACTATAGAAAACATTCAGTTATAAGAAAGTTACTCCAGAGAAGCTTTGCTCATGTTAAACCATTTTGAACCTTTTGGTCTCAAAGCTGCTGAAGTGTTAACATATAAATATCAATTTTTAAAGTGTGTGTACATATGTATTTAAATGCTTTGAGCTGTTGTTTTAGTATTAAAGTTAGAATTGTTAGAAATGTTTAAATGATGTGTGTTGATATAGGGAGAGCTGTCATATACTTAATTTGAGGTATATATCCATCTTTTAATCCAATTTGATGAAATTCTCCAAAGGGCTGGCTGGAGCAATGGCTCAGTGTTTCAGAGCATTTGTTGTTCTTGTCAAGTTTATGTGTTTAATTCCCAGCACCCACATGGTGATTCACAACTGTCCATAACTCCAGTTCCGGGGAATACAGTGCCCTCTTCTGACTTCCATGTTCACAGTCATACATATAGGCAAAACACTCATACACATAAAATAAATCTGAAAAAAAAATCTCCAAAGTATTAATTAGTAAATTTCATTTTTCTGAACATTTTTAAGTTATACATTTATATGGAAATTCATTTTTTTTAAAAAATTGGGAACACTGAAGAAACTGAATTAAATAAAAGTCATTTAAATTAAAACTAATGACTTCAAAGTGCTGTTCATTTTAATACTGACTCATGCTATCCTGAAGAACAGACCACAATTATAGGAAGTATAAGAAACTTAATTTCAGTATTATTCTAGAGTTTGAAACCCAGAAATACTATCAGGACCTTCAGCTCTTTAACTAAATTGAGAGTGTAGAGATAATTTGGCTCATAAGGATGCTTTGCCATCTGTCTCTGTTAACTCTAAAGCATTACTAAGCTGGCAGTGGAGTTAAGCTCCACCTTGCTTCCTGTGTTTTTTCACAGTATTTTTTTGTCTTGTATTTTTACGTGACTTTGGATTTAAAGGTGTTCCTTATGTCAAGGCATGCTATTCTTCTATATACCTTTATAGTTAGACTTACTATAAGTGAGGGTGATTAGAGACAGGGTTTCTCTGTGTAGCCCTGACTATCCTGGAACCCACTCTATAGCTGGCTGGCCTCGAACTCAGAGATCCACCTGCCTCTGCCCCCTGAGTTCTGACAGTGAATGCATGAGCAACCACTGCCCAGCTTAGACTTCCTTCTTGATTCTCCCTGTTAAAAAGTCTAATTCAAGACTCTTTACAGTATCATCACATATTTTCTAACTTATTTTGAATGTCTGATGTAGTGTCTTTGAATTCTGCGTGTGTCCTGAACCATGTGTCTTGTCCATACCACCTTGTTCTGCTGCCCATAGTCAGAATCCTACCTATACATCAAGATCTAGCAATAGTTTGTTAATAACAAAAATAGAACAAAGCTGAACAGTGATGGTACACACCTTTAATCTCAGCACTTGGGAGGCAGAGGCAGGCCTATCCACAGAGTAAGTTCCAGGACAGCTAGCACTGTTTCATAGAGAAACCCTGTCTTGAAAAACCAAACATATAAAAATAAAATATGAAGTGTAAAAATGACATGAAGTTGGGAGGCAGATAGGTACTTATGGGACATGATAAATGGATATGATTAATATCATTGTTTAATGTATGATGGAAGGTTCAAAGTATAAAAATTCAACTTCCAAATGCCAGTACTCCCATTGGGTTTTGGTCAGGAAAGCCAGAGGCTTCTTTTTCCAAACTTTCATGTTAGTACCAAAACATTAACTCTCTTGTGAGCACATTACATTTAGAGGCTATTTGTAATCCGGTTTGTGTTCAAGTATGTAGCAGTCATTGATATTTGTAGAATCCGGAAAGTTTTCACCAAAAAGGTACATTATTACAGTGATATATTGTTTATTATCTAATAAATATTGTTTATTATCTAATAAAGCTTCCCTGGAGATCAGAATGCAAAGCTAGCCACATCCATAGAAAGTAGGCAGTGGTGGCACACATCTTTAATCCCAGGACTCAGGAGACAGAGGCAGGTAGATCTCTGTGAGTTCAAGACCACTCAGGGCTACACGAGAGTAGCCCATGCCTTTAATCTCTACACTAGAGAGGATATAAAGAAGAAGCAAAGGGTCTCATGTGAGATTCAGTTTCTAGTAACAAGGATGACAGGATCTCCATTTTAGCCTTGGTAGAGGTAAGAACTACTGGCCATCTGCTTTGCTTTTCTGATCTTCAGCTTGAACCCCAATATCTGTCTCTGGGTTTTTATTATTCATGTTGCACCTTATAGCCTTTAAAACTTTCCTTTGTGACATATGAATATGCAGTTTTTAAAAATAGGATAATATATTTTGGAAAACAATATCCTATAACTCTAGTTCCAGAGAATCTAACACCCAAACACCCACTTTTGGCTTCCTTGTTACAACACACACGTGTACACAGGCATATGTTCTACAATTTTGTCTTTCAGCCCCTGAATTCAGACCACAGATCCACAGCCACAGTCCAGATCTGCAGTGGTTCTATAAACCTTCGGGGTGATGTCAAATGCAGAGCTTATATTCACAGCAACAGACCCAAGGTTAAAGACGCTATGCAGGTATAAAAAAGTCACTGACATGAAAAAAGTGGGAACAATTTAACATTAAGAAGTTCTTCAAGTTTACTTTCTTCTTATCTTAATTTTATGATTGTTAATTTCGTTTTAATTAATAAAGTTCGAAACAGTTTCAAGATTTTTACATGTAGACTGTCTATATTGATTTAATAATTATTCCACCTTTGTAATATATCAGTACCTTTGAAATAATTTCTTTTGAGGGGAACTCAGTTTCTTAACTAAAGTATTTACAGGAAAAATTTTTAGATCATGTGTCAGGGTCCAAATTTAGAAAGTGATGATCAGCATTTACATCATAGTACATTTCCTGATTTAGAATATTAGAAAAATTTGCTTAGATTCAAACTTTAATTTTTTTATTTGGCTTTCATTCACTATTTGATTGGCTATGTAGATTTACCATTAAGCTACAACTGTGTTAAAATTAATAGCAATAGGTGTGCTGAGTATATGAGATTAACAAGTGGACATTCTTATCCCAGAAAGCAAGTAATGTTTTTTTGGGGTTTTTGTTTGTTTGTTTGTTTGTTTGTTTGTTTGTTTGTTTGTTTTATAATAAGGAGATAATTTAACTTTGAAGAATTTTATTTCTTAATGTGTTTTTCCCCATAGGCAGTGAAGAGAGATATTTTGAACACAGTTGCTGATCGTTGTGAAATACTTTTTGAGGACCTGATTTTGAATGAAATTCCAGAAAAAAAAAGTATGGCTATAAAATAAGTACTTTTCTTATATTTGTTCTCTTTCACACAGTAAGATGTCAAGATTTAATATGTATGTCATCTTCTATAACATGTTTTAGAATAGTAACTTGTCTTTACATTTTTTGCCAAATAAAATCTTTGTTGTTGCCCCCTCTTCCACCATGTTGTTTTGAACATTTTTTATTAGCAAAGCTGTCAACATTTAGTAGTTCCAGGGAAGATATTTTTAATATTTTGCATCCTGTTTTTCTCATTTTAAAAATTAATTCTTTGAGAATTTCTTGCAATGTATTTTGATTATATTCACCCCATCACATCTTACCCACCCAAATTTGTTTGTTTGTTTTTTAAAACACACCAGGCACAGTTTGTGCTACCCACATATTTTTAGAGCTGTTGCGTTCCATTGGAGCTTGCTTAATCTACTGGGGGCCACACCTTTCAGAAGACTGACTCTCCTCTCAGCAGCTATCAATTGCAATAGCCCCTTAGTTAAGGATGTGACTTGGTGCTTACTTCCCCTGCCTGTGCTGGGATTTCATATGGCTTGCAGTTGTGCAGATCTTGTTCATGCTGTCACAGTCACTCTGTGTTTGTCTGGTCAAGTGCCCTACTGTGCCTGGAAAGCACCGTTTTCTTTATAGTCACCACCTCTGCCTCTTTGGTATTTCTGCCTCTCTTCTGCAATAATCCCAGAGCCTTGAGCTCTGGGTATGTGATATAGATGCCTCAATTAGGGCTGAACATTTTACCCCTCTCATTCTCTGTACCACAACTGGTTGTGGGTCTCTGTTAATTGCAAAAGAGACTTCTCTGCTGTGGGTTGAGAGAAACATTAATCTATGGGTATAACAGTAAGTCATTAGGAATTGCTTTAATGTGATGCCCATTTAGTAGCATAATGGTCTGTTATCTAATGCCTATAACCTAGCTAGCCAGAGGTTCCTAGCCCTGACAGCAGTGCCAGGTGTGGAACAAGCTTTAAGTCCTATCAGAAACGATTGGTTCCCCCCATGACATTTATGGCTATTGCACTAGTATATGTGTCTTTAACAGCTCAGTTGTCACTGTAGTTAGCAGGGTTCAAAGTGGGCTAAGACTGATTTTTTTTTTTTTCCATCTAGTAGCATGCAAAGCACCTACTAGGACTGTTAATGCTAGCCAGTAAGTGTGAGGCTTTCAGATGAGTATCTGCTTGATTTCATCATGTTTTAGCACTCAGCAGTACGGCTTGACAATGCCATGGTAAGCAATCACAAACATTGACAATAGCCTGTACTGTTTGGATTTGTGAATCTTCCTGGCCAGTAACTCCAAAGGAAATAACCCATTCTCAGCACAGACTTCTTATTTGTTAACCTGTGGTGTCATAGAGGCATTGTTGTCCAAACTCTGCATAAACTCTTTTATATGTTCATGTAAATACTTCAGGAAGCTTCTACAGTAGTGCGTTTTCATATGTCTTTAGTGTTAGTTTTCCTATTGTATTTCCTCCTCTACCCTGCTTTCCATTCCTGCCCCATATAACACTTTCTGTTCCATTATTCCCCTTTGACTCTATATAACTGCATTCTATTTCCCCTCTTGGAGGATTTTTAAAACAATTGTATCTGATTGAACTACTTTTGCCAGAGTAAACAGTTTCAGCAGTTTAAATTAAGACTTTTTGTTGATGTTATAGGTTTTAAGTCACCTTATATGTACTCAAACATTAACTTATTTGTGTTTGTTGAATAGTGGATTTTTTTTAAAGATACTGTTTATACACTATTATGTTTTGTATTTCTTAGCTTTTTCTCTAGCAGACTTGATTAGGTCAAAAATGGTTGAATTCCATCTGTGGGGAAACATTAGCAGTTTATGTTTTACATCTTAGTAATCCATATTAAGATATTTTTATACCCCCCCCCAAACTCTAGTAAGTCTGCTTTTGAAGCTTTACTCTAGTGTCTCCATTCCTACTATTCTGCTGGTAGGTGACTTTCTGATTCTAAGTGTTTTGTAACCAACTCTTTGGCATTTGGTTTTTATAACATTTTCTTTCTACAGGCAAGCAATCCAAATCTGAAGTATGCTTAAGATTTTGTACATCAAAACAAAATAAAAGATTTTGTAAATCAATTATCCATGCATATTATAATCATCTTCAAGTTTTTCACTTAAGATTCAAGTATGTTTGGTTCAAAAATATGCCATCGTCCTTATTTTGCATGCTGTGATACAAACTGCAGTTATGTAATTCTAACAGTGGGTGGCAGTGTGGTCAAAGAGTAAAACTATTCTTCCAATTCTACACAGAATGAGATCATACACTGAAAGTGGAAGAATTGTGTAGTTTATGCCACTGCATTCCCTGTGACACTTAAGGGATATTTAGCATCTTCTATTTGTAATTATATAAAGTAGTCCTAGTTTCTTGAAGAAGCGTAAATTGCTAGTAGAATGGCCCCAAATTTTTTCTTGATTTTTTTTTTTTTACATTGAAAGCTTTTTAATCATATCTGATGCACACAAAGTAGTTAGTTATTATTTACAAAATATCTACTTCTGTGTTAGTTTATTAGAGCCACATTTTGAGCTAACCAGCAGTTATATTTATATAGCTAGTAACTGTTTTAAACTTTTAGGGACATATAGTCTAATTTGCAGGTATCCAAAGAATTGTAAAGTATGGTGGCTCACTGGGTAAAAGAGCTTGCTCCCAAGAATGTGTTCAGTTCCTAGGACCCATGAATCCCAAGAACAAAGCTAGGTATTGTGACATGGACTTCTATTCAGTGTTAGGGAGGCAAAAGCAGGGAAGGCCCCTGCATTGACCTTAAGCATTCATAAATGAAGAAAAAGTAATAAAATTCACAATACTGACAAGATGAAAATGAACAAGAAAAGTAGCAATCTATGGGAGAGTTACAAAATTAACTTGAATGTTTCACCATAGGACACAGTGAGTTTTATAAGATCATGTGATTAACAGCATCTCTCTACACTAAAGACAAGGAGGTGTATATGTGTCATAGGTATATTATGTTGCCCCCATTGAAGAAGCCATGAAAATTGAGGAAAGAAAGAACTCAATGAAAGCAGTTTTGCCAACTAGAAAGTTCAAAATTATTGTCATTTCGACGTTTTTTTGAAGTAAATGTTTATTGACACCAATGACAGATATATCTAAATACTGATAATGTAATGTTCTTTTTAGAATATGAACTTCCTCAGCGAGTTTTTGTTCCCTTTCCTGGATCCGCTATAATGTTGTGTGATTATAAGTTTGGTGATGAATCAGCTGAAGAAATTAGAGACCATTTTTCAGAGATGTTAGATCATGAGATTCAAATAGAAGACTTGGAAATTGCAGAGGAAGTAAACACAGGTAATTAAAATCTGCGTAGATCATACCTAATCTCATCATGCCTTCCTGTTTCCTTAAAGCTAATTCTGTTCGATACTTCAGATTATTAACTGAGGTATGTACAAACACACACATGCATAACAGATCAGTATACATAAAAACAGAGTTATTTTCTTTGGAAACTTTACCCAAACTTAAAATATATTAAGTGTGTTTTGAGTCTAGCCAGTGAATCTTCATGAAACAAAGTCAGTTTTAAATGTGTGAAAATATATAGTTTTGGGATATTATTTCAACATGAGAAAAATTCTTCAAACTGTTTTAGAAAGTTTTCTCTATGGAGTTTGTCTTTTTCTCTATGTCCTTATTGTATAAGGTGGACACTAAAGTAAGGTGGGAAGTTCCAGAAATGAGACAAAGATGGTTGGGATAGAGCATAGATTTTTGGTACCGACTAGTTATGTAGACAAAGGAAAGCAGTAGCTATCTGCAAGCTGAGAAGGTGTGCTCAGAAGAAACCAAAAGTGCTCATATCCTGATATTCAGCTTATAGCCTCTGGAAGTGTGAGAGAAGATTTGTGTTGTCAAAACCAAATGAGAACAAAACAAAACGATCCTATTATCTGATTTAAAAGATAGATGGATGTCAGAGAATTCAGTGTGGTCCTCAGAGTCTCTGAGGGCTGACTCTAGAGTAACGATCAGGATTCTAGGGTCCATAGTTACTTCATTAGTAATTCAATACGAAACAAATATTTTTTCCCCCAGGCTTGGTGGCAGATTTAAGTGCTAATCCCTAAATCCTAGCGCATAGGAGACTGAGGCAGGGAATTATAAGCCTGGACTACATAGGGAATTTCAGGTTACCCTTCTCAGAACAGTAACTACAAAAATTGCAAACAAGCAATATGCAGTGTAAGTAGATGATCTACAAGGTTTTTCTTTTTATATCTTTAAACTGTATTTCTTTTCAGAGAGCCACCTCTCTTGAGAAGACAGCTTCCTAAAGTTCTGTCTTCCATGTTCTCTTTAGCCAGTGTATTGTATGTATAACAGGGTTAGCACAGTCAGTGATCATCTACCCCTCCTGTCAGGTCTCCATTTTAAGGGTAATGGTGTTTTTCTTCTTACCCTGACCCCTCTGTGTGTAGCAGGGAAGAGGGTGTTTGGGGTTATATTCATTTTTCCATTCTTTTATTTCATTTACCCAAAGACATTGGGTGTGTAGGTTTAGCTTTTGTTTGTTTGTTTGTTTGTTTGAGACACTCTGTGTAGCTTTGGAGCCTATCCTGACCTCATATTCACAGAAGTCCACCTGCCTCTGCCTCCTGGGTGCTGGGATTAAAGGCATTCACCACCACCACCCAGCTAGATTTAATTTAGCTTTTAGATGCATAATGAAAGCCATGGTGTGCTTTGACTTGCGAATAGACCTGCCACTAATAGCTGTATAACCTGTCTAAAGCCTTTCTGAGCCCCATATTCCTTTGGGCTAGAGAATATATTTTCTAAAAGGTAATGCATATAAATGGACGATGATAGGATACTGTGCCAAATAATTAATTTCCTCTCAATGAACTTCTGCACATTAGCAAAAAAACAATATTAAAAAAGTGTGAACATAATATTTTATGATATACTTGGATTTTTCATAAGCATCTGAAATCAGGGTTTCTATAAACAATAAATCCTGAAAATAGTTCAGATTCAGAAATGGAAATGAGTTATGCATTTAGGACTGTTAAACTTTCTAAATATCGCTGTTGTTTCTAAGTTTTTGAAATTATTATTTAATATTACTATATGGTCTATAATATAGTTGTCAAGTAGTTGCTATGTTTAAAAATACATATTTTGCCAAGAAATATCTTCAAGTAACATATTTTTAAACGACTTAAGGGATAAAAAGCAATTTGTTTTGTCAAAATGACTCACTAATGTTGAAGGATAACCATGGCTTTAAAATTTCTTGGATGTTTTAGTCATCTCATAGACATTAGCTTAATAATTCAGATGTACTTTGTCTATTATCAGATAAAAATAAATTGAAGACACACCTTTAAAATATGCTGAAACTCATCTTTGTCAATTCTGTCATGGTATTGGAGCCAGTTATTCTTTGTTACTAAATATTCATTATTTATTATTTTCTGTGCTTGAATCCAGGACCTTGTGCATGGTAGGCAAGCTTCCTATTACTAAGCTATGTCCCCATACCTTGGTCTTTTGAGACCTGTCTTGTTCTGTGGTTCAGGCAGGCCTTGAACTCCTTTCTGCTCCTATGCATACTCACGTGCTTGAGAAGCATTACAATTTAAAGGGAAAAAATTATCCTGATTACTTACTGTGATGCTAGGAATGAAACTCAGGGCCTTGTGCATGGCAGAAAGTCACACACCTATTCCTAACAGTAGCTTTTGAATTCATCTCCCAAGACTACCTGACAGTTTCAGGTCAGAAGACACATCATAATGAAAGGAACTTAGAAAATCTCTAATCATGCTCTAATCATGCTGTTCGAGTTATGTTTTTTATCCTTCTCCAGTTCTAATTCTTTTGTCCTAATTGCCTATAATTTTCTGACCCTAATTCTTTAGCTTCAATCTGTAATTCCAAATCTTTGGTTCTTATTCTCAGTTTCAGTCCCCTGCTTCTGTGTTCACCTAGCTTAAAAGCATTTTTTACAGGTGGTTTAAGGCAATAAAAATAGTTACAAGAGTCACATCTCATTGGTCATAGCACATTCTTTGGGTAAGCAATAAGAGCAGAGCCATTTACCATGGCAACACAATGTTTCAAGGTTTCTGGTGTAAGTCTGTGACCAGATGTCAGGGGCACAGGGCCTGATGAGACAAGCTGTGGGACATAGTTCTTTTATCAGGTAGAATTGACAATCAAGGAATTGGCATGATTTGTTTTTTAGGTTGCTTTTTGTTAGTAATCTTGGTTAGACATCTTTAACTCTGACCTTGTGCATACTGTAAAATTTTTAACTTATGATCCATTTACAGAAACCTTCAGTCTAGTTTGAATTTGCTCTGAGGTAAAAATGAGCTAATTGTGTGTAGTTTGAGTAAAAGGAACAAAACAGGCTTTTAAGTGTCTTATGGTCATGGGACAATCTAGTTATGAAGCGTATCCTAGTGTACTTTTTATATATGAAAATTATTCATATTAGTGCGAAGTTATCTTCCTGACCACCCACAAATTATGTGCCCATAAGATTGAGATGCAATTATGAGATTACATATATATAGCATACGAAGTTACACACTACAGTGCAGGTATTGGGGACACACCATAGCTGTTTTAGCAAATGTGAAATTACAGTCGGGAGCAACAGTTTTCCAGAGTCATTGGTCCTACAGGCTCTACCTGGTATTCTCCAGAGGCTCATTCTTCTGGTGGATTGACACTAGCTTGTTGTATACTTCCATGGCCTTCAACACTGTCCCTCTCTATGTAAGCATGATACGTTTTCTTCATATTTGCTATTTTTGTGTCTTAGCCTCCTAAGTACTGAAATTTCAGGTGTGTGACAGCACCACAACCAACTGATGGTTGGTATATATTTATGGATAAAATGTTGACTATAGTTCTACAGGGATAGGAAACTTATCTATTTAAAAATTTCAAGTTCTGGGTGGCTGTTGCGATGACTTAGCTGGTAATGGCACTTGCTATCAATATTGATGACCTTAGTCATAGGAAAATAATGAAGTACATAAAAGGCCCCCAACACACACACACACACAAAATCAATGTTTAAAAATTCTCCCCTTTAAATAACAAGGTAAAAATTTACCAACCCTGAGTCAACAACCTAGAATCCTCAGCTTCATTCTTTACCTACTAGGATTTGTAAATGTGATGAAGTACTTGCCTTCCTTAACTTTCAGTTTGTAAGGTAAAGTTTCTAGTCATATTTTTGTGGTGATAATATTTATGATTTATTAAAACTTGCCTGAGGATTCAGAAAGCAAACTCAGCTTCAAGCTATAGAGATCAGGCAGTGGTGGTACACCCTTAAATCCCAGGACTCAGAATTAAGAGGTAGACGGATCTCTGTTAGTTCAAGATCACTATGGCTTGCATAAGTGAAGAGTAACAGAGCTCATGGCTTTGATCCCAGCATCTGGGATGACACACCTTTAATCCCAGCATCAGGAAGGTGTATAAAACAGCAGCAAGGTGTCAGATCAGGCATTCAATCTCAGGATTCTCTCCAGCCACACTCAGGAGAGACAGCAGTCTGAGATTTGGGAGAGCTTGTGGATCAGCCCTTTCAGCCTGAGGTAGGGGAAAGAGCTACTGGCTGGCTGCTTTGCTTTTTTGATCTTCAGCTTGAAGCTTGAATCTCATTATCAGTCTCTGGTTCTTTTAATTTTTTGACTTCCACAGGCACCAGACACACATGTGGTACACAGACATCCACAAATGTAAACACACATGCACATAAGAACAAAACAATTTTTAAAATAAAGAAACCCACAAAGACAGATGACCTGAACAAGGGGGAGCTAATGGACCCCCCCCCCCAGACTGATAGCTGGGAAACCAGCATTGGACAGACTCAGACCCCCTGAATGTGGGTCTCAGTTAGAAGGCCTGGGCAGACTAAGGGAACTCTGACCATTGAACCAGGATGTATCCCTGGTGCATGAAAGGACTTTGGGAGCACATCCCCCATGGAGGGATACCCCATTAGTCCAGAGGTAGGAGGGAGGGCCTAGTCCCTACTCCAAATGACTTGACAGATTTTGATGATCCCTCCTGGGAGGTATCACCCTCCCTTTGGAGTGGGTGGGATGGGATGGGAGGGTGGTTGGGGGGCATGGGAGGGAGAGAGGGATATGGGATCAATGTGTAAAATAAGAAAAAAAATAATGAATTTTATATATATATATATATATATATGTATATATATATATATATATATGAACTCAGATTTCAAAACAAATAAAAATAAACAGATCTTTAGAAAGATGGATGAGTAGAAGGAAAATGCTGCTGATTGTTGTATATTTCATGTTATTGAAAAATGGCAGTTCTTGATTTCTGTAGCATTTGTTCTGATTTCCTGCAGCTTGTATGACTTCCTCTGTGAAGAGCGAAGCATCACCAACCAACTCTGGTGATGAACACCCAGAGCCACCAAGTAAGACTACAGTTGGATTGAAGATTAAGCAAAACATAGGTATTTGCTTTTTTTTAATTTTGAAAAGTGAATGATTTTGAGTTTTCTTTTTATGTTAAAATTAATTTCATTTTGCCAAAGTGTTAGATTAAGATAGTATTTACATGGTATGATGAAAGTGACAATAGCTACACAAATAAATGTGCATTTTAATGGTTGAGAAGCACTGCCCACTGGATCTGTGTTCCAGTGTGATCTAAGATCTAAGTATGAAACAGCTGACAAATGGGGTAGGCCTGTATATGTGTGTGTCTCTATGTACTTGTATGTATGTGTATGCCCATACATATACACATATATTTGCAGAAGCTTTTTAAAGTACTTGTTCTATTTTCTCTTAGTGTGCATATGTGTAAGAGAGACACTTTGCCCAATCTTTTTTTTTTAATTTATTTATTTATTTTATATAACCAAGTCCATTTAAATGAAAACAAACATTTATAGACAATTTTTGGGAATTTGGGTGTCATTCTTTCCAAACTACTTCCTGCTGGTAAGGGGCGCTGTCATGGGGGATTCTAAGAAGATGCAGAAATCCTGGCTGTAGTTTGTCAGGCTGCTTTGTCCAGCTGTTTTGAATGTAGGATCACCTGGTACTCTTGTTTCAGGCGGTCTGGCTTGATCAAACCACATTAGTCTGGAAGGAATCCACAGCTTTTCATTTTCTGTGAAAACAAAAATAGAAATCCTTTTCCCCAGTAACTTGTCCTTGAACTTAAATTTTGGAGTCAAAGCATTTTTTTTAATTTAATTTATTATTTTACATGTTGGTCCCAGTTCCCTCTCCTTCCCTCCCTCCTTCCCTCCCTTTTGCCTTCTCTGCCCTCTCACATGCACTCTAACCACCCTCCCCTCCCATCCCTCCACCCCAATTCCATATGTAGGGGAATCACTTTGCCCAATCTTTATGAGCTAGTTTCAGTTTACTACCATATGTTCGTCTAAGACTTCTCTGGATTTTAATATGTACATATCTGCCCATTTTTGTAGTACGTGTGTATGTGTGTGTGTGTGTGTGTGTTGTGTAATGTCTTACAGGCCCATCCTTTACCCCCATTTCAGAGCATGACGGTCAGTTGCTCATTCCACTTCCATTGTTTTGTGTTGTTTCACTTTCAGGTGCGATTGCAGCACTTGGTGTGGCAGTCCTTGCAGCCGGCATCTCCTTTCATTACTTCAGTGATTAGGGTGAGGCACAGAGAGCTTCCTGATCATCCAGAGAACAGTGAACAACAGCTATGAAAACTCAAGATGTAACTGCCCCAGCTGCATATAAGCTCTGCTACAGTAATGTGTATTAGGTGTGTTTCTGACTTACATGACATCACCAGCTGCCTTGTTTAACCTGCTTTCATTATCTGGCCCAGGTTTCCAGAAGTAAACTATACATCAAAATGGAGTTGCATGTAACAAATCACTATTATGTATTTTCAAAAAGAGTCAAAACGTGAGCTATTTTAGAGTTTAGTCCTATTGAACAGCATCACATACTGATCGAAATATTGAAACTTTGAGCAGTCAGTAGCAATCATAGTTGATAAATCATCAGGAATTGCCTGGTAAGTTTATCCTTATTTTATGGAAATGGTCTAAATTGGAGACCATGAATACTATTTTAAGCACACAAATGGACTGTGGAGTCCTGGATGGCAGGTGCCAGTAGCAGCACGGCACTGTGTTGCTTGCCTCAAAACCAAAACAAAGAGAGAGTAAATTGGAGATGCTATCCTAGGTAGGGATAGTTTATGTTCAGTAGCTCTCACCTTGTAGTTCTGTGTAGCTCCTGGCAGAAACAAACTAGAAGCACTTGTAACTTAGGCCCAAGACTCCCATAAATTATGATCAAGCAGTAAGTCTTAGGAAAAAGTAAGTTTTGAAGTTCTCCCAAGTTTACAACAACATAGAGAATGAAGGACATAGTCATAGATGTGGCTAAGAGCTAGATAGTGCTCCTTAGAATAAACTATAGGAAAAATTGAACATTGAAGTCAGTTCTGCCAACTAAATGTGGGTAAGAGCAGGGTAGTGCTCCTTAGACTGAGGACTGCTTTCTTTAAAGGAAGAGGGCAGACTGCAGGCTGGTTAATGGAAAATCAGTGAAGTGGACGGTAGAGCAGCAGAGGGAAGGGTGACAGTCTAGGAGAACCAGGACAGGAGAATGGAAGAGAGGCAGCACTTGGGCTGACAGGGTTCTCCACACATTAGCAAAACATTTATAAATTCAAGAAATACATTTAAAAAAAAAATCCATGATTTTATCCAAGTAGTGAACTACAAGACACAAAGCAAGGTTGTAAAAAAGTCAAAGGTATATAAAGCTCCTCAGCTAAGGTAAGCCAGTCACATACAGAGCAGACCCCCAGTAGCGACAGTGTACCCAAGAAAGTGGGAAAATGCCTTAGAATTGTGAGTGGAACTGTAACAGCTGATGTAAAGCAAAGCTCAGAAACAACAAATCTTCATTAAAGAAACTAAAAAAGGATGGTCTTCAATGAAGAAAAGTACTCCAAAGCAAGATCTGAAATAAAGTGTTAATGAACAAAGTGATCAATATTGTTAAAGTGTTGTTTGTATAAAGCAGTCATAATGAAGTATTCATAGAAATTGTAAACAAATATAAAACTGAATAAATATTGTTAAGCAACATTAATGTGTAATTTTCAAATATGAATATAACTGGGAAAATCTGGCTTAGAGGATAGGAGGAGGATGATTAGAACCAAAGTGCTCTGAGGGGCTGGGGCTAGGATTCAGGAACCAGGCCAAGTTAATGTTTAAATTAGATTATTTCAATGCATGGTTAACTTTTAAGGGTACCTTTCAAGTTAGGTGGTAAAACAGCCTAATGAGAAGATTTGGAAGGAAGATATTAGAAGGGAACAAATGTGGTAAGTAATAATAGAGTTGCATGATTCATAGATACAAGGTCCTGACCTTTTCCTTACTACAAAATAAAGACAAGTAAGGCCCTTGCTCAAAGAAAGAAGCTAAATGGACAAACCATCTAGACCAAATAGATTAAATTCTGGAAAGTAAAATTTTAGTTAAATGCAGATTCTAAATAGACCTGTTCAAGTGGAATAGTAAACAAATTAAGGTTTTTTTTGTTTTGTTTTTTTGTCAACACCTGCCTCAGTTTTTTACCTCTTTTAAAGACAATACTACTATACAATCTTAACCAAACTTTCAAAGCATATGTGATGAGGGAAGAAGACTTTCTAGGTCATTGTATGAGGCTCATATAACTTGGTAAAACCAGGGACAGCTAGAGAAAAAACTGCAGACTGATAACACTTCTTAACACACATGAAAATTAGATGCACTATTCAAGTTAATTCAGCACTGTATTAAAGAAATGTATGCATTAAGTAGCAAGAGCAGGAGGATGCTCGTTAACTTTCTGTTCATCCTATAGAAAAGTGAGAAAAAGACAATGCATTTTAAGAACATGACTAGACAAATGAAAATATTTACTGCATAAGAGACTAATTAAGGTCATATAGCCAGTACCATTTTACATTTGCTAGGTTGTAAAACTAAGACATGGAGATGCTAATAAAAATGATGTAATAAAAGGCACTTCACATTGTAGGTGTTCAGAAAGCCATTTGGCCTTGTAGAGTTAAATAATTCTAATCTCTACTTACATAACTTAGGTAAATTCTTGCATAGATAGAACTGTAAGAGTATGTAACAATGTTTATGACTGTGGTCCAAATATTTATTAATTAAATAAGTAAATTGTTGGGAATGTAATTTTATTTAGCAGGGAGAATGACCTACATTAAAACATGGAGGTAGAATTTAAAAGTCTGGCTTCATGGCTATTCCTGTAATTTCATCTCTCAAGTTCAATTACAGTCTGGGCTGCATAGTGAGACCCTCCTTCAAATAAATAAAATTAATTTTAGTTGGAAATTATTAGGCAAATGCCAGGTCTGCCTATAGTGTAATACTGTTTGTAAAGTTAAGCAAATTTAAGCTATATTACATGTATTTCTGGTGAAATTCTTTTTTAAGGTACAAAAGTGGATGATGGCAGAACGGGGAAGCAGGATGTAACAAATACATTGAAAACAGTATTGCCATGCTTTGCTTCCTAAGTAACAGGTGTCTAGATGCACATTTTAATTACTTTTATTTTCTATTGCTAACAGACCATGCCCACATACTTCATAGTTGTTTTCCTCACAGTTCTCTGAATGGACAGAAGTCACTTAAGTTCTCTACCTATGTTTGCTAGAACTTCCATTACCTAGGGACTAGATTGGGATTGGAACATACAGGATCGTTCTTTCACATGGTTGATAATTGATGGTAGCTCTCAACTGGGAATCCAGTGATCACGTCTCGGTTCTGTGTAGGTTTCATATCTGGCTTCTGGTTCATTCATCATACTGGCCGAGTTTCTTCATATTTTATGATGCTTAGAGTCAAAGAAGTAACACAAGCATGAACATTCCAACAAAGAAAAAGTTGAGACTAAGTCCTCAAACGCTGGCTTGGAAATTCCTGGATATGATTTCTACTACATTTGATTTAGGCTTAATTGGCCAACCCAACTAAGCCTAAATCAAAAGACAAGGAGAAGAAAAATCTTTATTCAAAAGGGAAATATGACATACAGTTTGCCTTTCAATCTATTGCTTGCTTTCCTCTGCTGTGCTACTTCTGTAGACCCATAGAATGTCTCTTCCTTTTATGTAAGCCTAAGGTATTTTAGCTGTCAGTAGTATCACATTCTTACCAGCACAGCAGGGATTAACTCAAGCTATATGACAAGCTTGGTTGGTTCTTACTGTAGGGATTTGTCTAAATGTAGATTAGCTACTGCACAGCAAATATTCAGGAAATTGTTCTTAATTTCCAATTTAGCCCAATGAGCAAATATATTGGAAAACATTCATAACCTATTAAAGGTATATTAAGTTAATAGGTTTTAATTTAAATAAAAGAGAATACTTATTTAAATAAATAAAATAGAAGTGACTGGTTTATCTGTGCTTTCGCCATTTTGGATGTGCTTTTGCATTCATTGTCTCATTGACTTTTACAAAATATTTATGTTGTTAAGGCTTATTGATAGGACTCTAACTTATGACTGTAATCAAAGGATTGTTCATATTTAGGAAGAGTGGACACTGAGTAATATGCTGGTTAGTTTCTGTGTCAACTTGTCACATGCTAGGGTCATATGAGAAGTCGACCATCAAACTTAGTTGAAAGAAATGCTTCCATATGATTGACATGTAGGCAAGCCTATGGGCCATTTTCTTGACAGCTGTGTGTGGTGCCACCCCTGGGCAGGTGGTTGTGGGGTGTATAAGAGAACATACTGAGTAAGCCAGTAAGCAGCACTCCTCCATGGCCTCAGCATCCATTCCTGTCTCCAGGTTCCTGCCTCAACTTCCTGCCCCAACTTTTTTTGATTATGAACTACAAGCTGTAAGATGTAAACCCTTTTTCCCCAAGTTGTTTTTGGTAATGGCAGCAGGACAAGACCGGCAGTGGGAGGGAAAAACGTACTTCTTACAATGGTGTTTTATCACAGCAATAGAAACTCTAAGACAGGTTAACTATTTGTTTCAATGATCAGAAGTAGGTTACTCCTGGTTTTCATCTTTATAAAATTGTTTTTAAATGATTTACATACTTAGCATGAGCAGGTGAAGCTAGATTTTTATGTTGTGCTATGGAACTTCTGAAATGGTGATCTCCAAATAGTTCTGTTTAAAAATTCTTAATTAAGACATGACATTTTTAAAAAGATACCTCGTTTAACTTATTCAGTTTAAGATATTTTATTTATGGAATTGAGAAAGGAACTTAATGATCAAGATGAAAGTAGTTCAGTCATGTCTCAGATTCTATTTTAGTCAAATCCAATCTGGTTGAAGGTATACCAGATAACTAATCTTATGATTAGAATATCAATTAGCTAATATGTTAAGTTATTATTTCTTAGTCTAAGTAGAAATAAGATAGATTTTTAAATAAATTTTCTGTACTTTCAAGTTAGTACTATTGAATATATATGCTACTGATTAGCTAATAACTAGAAATCTGAGTTGTACTGCCAGATCAAATAGAATCTTAATAAGTCAGTTCAATCCTTTGGATTTGGGACAAATTTAACAGCATCAGCACTCATTAAATAGTGTTTTTAAATTTAGAAAGTGTTTTCAATCTTTTTTTTTTTTTCAGCAGTTTAGAAACTGTGGCTCAAAGTGGCTTCCTAACCCTAGTGGTAGCAATTGTATATGTTGTATATTAAGGAGAAAGACACTGATGAAAGAGAATGATTGAGAATGTAAAATCAAGGAAGGACAACTCTAAAACTGAAAGAATGTGGATCTAAGCTTCCTCTGTGAGGCGGTCAACTATAAAGGAGTAAATACTGGCTGTTGGAGAAGGGATGCTGCTTCTAACACAGTAGTTCACTCAGAGTAAGGAGAAAGTTGATGCTCATGTTTATGGGATGATAAGTTATGCCTGATACCTTCAGATTTCTAAGAAGTTTGCAAAGTCACCTGAGAATGAAAAAAATAATAATAACAATAATGTGAGAAAAGAAATATTTGCAGAAGTTGTTGCAAGAAATGGGCCATCAAGCTGACCCAATCAACAGTGGAATTGCCAGATGGCACATTTACCTTTGAGGTTACTGATTTTAAATAAATGAAATTGTGTGCTTTCCACCAAGAGTCTATCTTCTCAGATTCAGATGTAGAAATTAGGAATAATGTTGTTTAAAATGCTGATTATTATACTATAAATCTACTGTAGCTAAAACAATGACAATATACATAGCAGTATTTGGAAGTCTTGTTTAAGAAATAAGTTAAAAACAAAGGAGTGCTTGGAAATTTAGGGCAATGATGAATAAGAAAAGAAGTGAAGAGGAGAAAGAAAGCAAGAAGAGTGTGCATACACCAGTAGACTAAATGTACTGTGAAGAAATAAATGTGGAGGGCTAGAAGAAACACAAAACACAAAAATGTTTTGAGGAAGAAACATGCATGTGATAGCAAAGGAATTCAATGGCTGAGGTAAAATAGGTCATTTACATGAGATGAAGAGGTCAAGGAACAAATGTCATTTACAGGTGATGGGTTGTCTGTTGGAATGATAATATCCAACATAGTGATAGGTCTTGAAGTATAAAGGAAAACTTTAAAACAAGTGTCTAGTTTTTTATAAGTGAAGGGAATGATTTGTGAGCCAATAATTGAATTAAAAGGATGGGACAAAAATGCCACACACTAGTAACATGCCTAAAAGATAGGGATATTTATAGAAATCAGTGGTTACTAGTCTGAGGTAAGGGGAAGTACTAAATAATGGTTATTAAATAATAGACAGTACCTCAACATGATAAAGGAAAAGGATATCCTGAAAAATGAGGTTTCCATTTTACCAAATAGGGAAAGAAGTGTTTGGGAAAAGTAGTTAGGAATAAAGGAAAGTGTGTTGATTTTAAATATTGAGAAGGCACAGATTGCAAGGATGGTGGTACAGGAAAGGATTATGAAGAAGGCATGGGTAGTGAGCAGAAGTTAATGCATGCTAATTTTAGATATTGATTAATGAATGAATGCTTAGAATCATGGTAGATTTAGCTTTAGGGTTTTCTGTTTTCTTTCTTTTTTTTTTTTTTTTAGGTGTCACCAAGACTATACAGTAGGAACATGACCTATAGCTATTACCTTTGTATAGTTAAACACATTCCAGTGATAAGCCCAATT